AGAGAGAGAACAAGGAAAAAAGAATAAAGAGAGAGAGAGAGAGAGAGAGAGAAAATATAATAAAAAAGAGAAAGGGGGAAGATATGTGTTGGGATGAGGTGTTTTTATTTTGTCAGGTGCACTGCCCAACAAAATGTGATGTTTTTATTTTATTATTACTTTCTTTTTTTACTTCAATTCCATGTAGCTTTGGTTTTCTTAAATGATTTCATTTTTTAAATAAATTATTTTGGAATATCCTCTTCAGATGTTGAGTTTCTTTTGCTTGTTAGGTTTACGTGGGTTTAAGTTTTGAGGGCATTTGAGTTTATTTACATGAGTTTTTGATTATTTTTGAAAGTTTTTATCAAAATGGACATTTATGAAAGTATAGGGTAAATTTTGGCTATTTTTGATAAAAACTCATGGTAAGGCCTTACCTTTCCTTGCATTTTGCTACAGTAAATGGGTGGAAGTCCTCTTATAAAGTTAATTTGTTTTTAAATTCAATTATGTCGTTTATGATCATTTTATTTAAGAATAAAATTTAAAATATAAATCCATCAAAGGATTAGGTTAACTTATGAAAAGTTGGGTTTATTATTCCCTTCATTATTGATTCTTCGCAAAATGACCCATAAAGTCAACAAGTGACAGGTCAAAACTAACACAACGAGTCGACCCCAACCCAAGTGAAAAGTCACATTCTATACACGTGGCGCTCATGCTGCATTCGTCACTCTTTTTGTCGCCTTGTAAATAACTCACCAATCGTCGTTAAATGGGAAAGACCCCAAATTATAAAAAAAAAAACAAAAAAAAAAAAAACACAAAGAAAGCTCAAACCAAACAGATCTCTCCCTCAACTCTCAACTCTGAAACTCAAATCATTCTTCTCTCTGAGACGACGAACATCCACGAGAAGAGCTGACGAGGTATATAACAATGGCTCCGATTCCGCCAGATAACGGCGTAGAAGGAGACGATGAGAGAGAGGAAGAGGGCGAAGAAGAAGAGGAGGAAGAAGAGGAAGAAGAGGAAGAGGAAGAGGAAGAGGAGGAGGAGGAGCCGAGGCTAAAGTACCAGCGAATGGGAGGCAGCATTCCTACGTTGTTGACCAGCGATGTGGCTACGTGTATCGCCGTCGCGGAACGAATGATCGCGCTCGGAACTCACGGGGGCACCGTTCATATTCTCGATTTTCTAGGGAATCAGGTGAGGGACTGAGCTTGGCTTCAATTCAGTTTTTTATCTTCTGAATTAGTCGTTCTTGGAATCATTGTATTGAAGGTTATGTTAGTGTCATTCGTGGGATTTGAGTTTGTATTGGATCAAAATGGAGCTGGCTGGATCTGGTTTTTCTTGATAATTTTAAATTTTCTGCGGGTTTATTGGAAAATTGGGTGTAAGAGCTTGAACCTAGTGGAGTTTAGTTCAGGGATGGTCCATGGGGGTTTTCAATTGCTCAAATGGAAACAAAAAAAGAGAAAAAGAAAGCCCTTTTAGTATAATTTCATTTTATTAATTATATGCATGCAGTATTGTAAAGTGGTTTATTTTGAATTTGCTGTACTTTTATTGCCTGCCCAATCAAATTACGAAATAAAAAATAAAAAAATCTTAATCAAGTGTTTCTGTGCCAATTCAATTTTCAGCTCTGTTGAACTTACACTCCTTGTATGATGATTGAATTCTACTTCTCCTAAAACCTTCAAATCAAAAACATTTATTTTTTGATTGGGCAATTACCTCTGCATTAGGCTAGAGTTGTAACGTTTGACCTCGACAAGCAATGTAGGTTGTTTGTGATATTAGTAGGTGGTTTACCGATATGATTTCTTTGCGATGTTTGTAGTTAATTTTCGAATTTGCATTTCATATAGGCTACTGCCATTAGTAAATCCTTTACTTATCTGGTTGTTATCTGTTGCATTATCATGTTTGTTAATTCTTTTAGACATAGATAGAGTCCGTGCGACAATGTAGGCATACATTTATATACAATAGATGGGACGTGTTCCTTGGAGATGTTTGAATTTGCTCTAAGTTAGAGGACCTTGTCGCGCAGAGAGTGCAGCAATCAACACCATGATTTTAGAGAATATATAATGTCCACTGAAAACAGAATTAATTACGCACGAGTTTTCATGTTCATATGTTTGACAGTATAATTGGTACCACTTTAAATCAATTAATAGTCTTTTTTCTGCTTCATAAGAAAAGAGTAGTAATTTAGTACTCTACTACTTTATGGTTATGTGGTTTACAGAAAAATTAAATAAAATAAGCATTTCTGTTGTCTGCCTTCTAAGCATTACTGTCATAAAATTTCTTCTGCCAATGCATTCAATTTAAAAATAGTGGGTCTGTCCACTTTCTTTATTT